TTCTAATTAGTCACCATAGCAACCACAAAACTCTTCTCGTTACCATCTATAAACTGATATATAATAAATAAATTATTTAACAAAAAATATGATGCGCATAAGCACATAATATTTTATACTCTGGTTATTTCAGTTTCCGTTTTCAGAAGCGCTATATGTTGAGCCACCCAATCTAGATTTGGCATGTGACATTTTTAGCGGCAATTATTGGTAGCGTTGCCATTCAGAGAGTTGTAATGAGGCTCTTTTTTATCGCCGTGTAAGAGAAATATATATATTGAGATGTTTNCGCTACATTAACGACGTCTCCAGAGTAACTGAATGACGGTTCATATAGAAATCGCAGGTAAGCGTCTCATACAACAACGCCCCCATAGTTCGTTGCGATCGCGAATACTAATTGTAATATAATATATTATAAAAAAATTATTATATAATAATTATAATATATTATAAAAAAAACTAATTCTTTCGCTTTATGTTTTTTTACTATAACTGTAGATAAAATTAAACAAAATTTTTGGAGTAATTTTTTATTAATGACAAAAATATTATATTTCAGAATTTGAAAAATAATCCTATCTTTGTTCTTGAGTACGAAATATAATGACGGAGTGACCCTATAAATTCAGTTGCCATCTCATCTCCAACTTAAGATGAGATAGCCACAAAAATTCGAGGAGCGATGACCATTTTTCATTAATGTGCATAGATTTAAAGAAAAAAAAAATTTAAAATGCGGAAACTTTAATTTTCAATTCTTCTTTATGTCAAAAATAAGATGTATTTTAATATATTCGTATTCACTATCATGTTTCATATTTCCTAAAAAATAAATCTCGTTCGTATTTTTGACGTTAAGGTAAGAGTTACTTTTCGTGGAAAGGTGGTAAGGATGTTCAAAGTTTAGGTAATTCTTCACAGTACGTAATACAGTAAAGAATTCGCATAAACTTAAAATTCTATGTTTTCAAATAACCAAATTTATAAAATTCTGTGTTTATCGCAATAAATAAACTTTATGAGAAATAGTCAAATGAACAAACGCATAACCTCCCCTGTCCTCTTCTTGACCAACTACAATATTTATGAAGCATCGCATATTATGAATATAAGCATCGCATATTTATGAAGCATCGCATGAATAGTAATTTATTTACGTCGCGCTAGAAATGCACAACAGGCTTTTGGCAACGGTTTGGAAACCTGGCAGTTACTTAGCAGGAAACCTGGCAGGAAAATAGGCAGGTGCAAGGGAGCCGGCAGGGGGGTGCAAGGAGGTGCACTTGCACCCCCCTGGCTTTTTTTCAACAATTAAAGAGGTACAGAANATGATCCGAAGACATGCCATCGCAATTTTGATTCTTTGCGGAGGGGATGGCTCCTTTGCTTTGGTAGCCCGACGACCTGCACGCGAAGACGAGCACTTTATGGCAGAACAGTTTAATGAGGACCGATACCGCACTCACTTGATCCCTACGCAGACTGATCAAAGTGGCCACTCACCCGCTTACTGACCGCAGCCAGTGCTGCCTGACTTCGGTGCTTTACTGGAAACCGTGTCTTTACGATCAGTCTACTGCGGGACGGATTGTGCAAGGAAGCATTTGCGCTGAATGTGATTGCGTTTGACGCACGAGCAGATGTTATATATATAAACAGCTCGCTCATGCGACGCGAATCGCATTGATGTACTATCACATATGCGATAGATGTTTAAAACATCATCGCCTATCACATGGAGAGAGAATGCTCAACAATCAGTAAATTGGTGTCATAACACGATCGCCAGTTGTTTCAGGCAGCCATTCTCACTGCATGCAACTCACTGTTGGGGGAAAAAGTTTTATTTTTGAATTATGGATGGTGTTCTTACAAGTATTTCTTCACATATCAGGTGCTCCTACCCATTCAATGACTATCAGAGATGCGTGAATTACGTGCAGAAAAAACTGTAGTCAAATTGATGAAAATGTCCTATAACTTCATATAAACAGTTTTATATCTGGCAACGACGGTTCTCTTCCGTGGGCGTGACCAGGCTGTCTGCTACTTAAATATCACATGCGCTAGTATTAGTTTAGAATTTGTTTTGGAGTGCTTTTATGACTTACAATTCGAAAATGTTTTAACTTATATGATGTTATGTAATTCTAACACGATTGTACATCGAGCAAAAATGAGAGGGGCTTGAAAATGGGATCAATGCCGGGGAAAAATACGATGGATCGATTTCCCCTCAAAGCTATGCTTCTTACGTGCTGTAATTGAATAAAATGGCGAGCATGCAAAGGGATCACTGGTCCCATGTGTGGTTGCGGTGCTTACTTCTTAGTCTTTTTTTATGCCGGAATGTGGTCCTTCCCGAAGTTAATAAAAATCGTGAGTTTCTGATCAAAAACAAAAGAGTTAATTCACAGTGTGTATCTCAGGGATGCACAACCTTTTTTTAGATCACGGTTCGGCAAAAAAGAAAATCTAAGACCTAGATGAAAATAAAAAGCGGCTGTTAATTCAAAAAAAAACTTTAACTATTTAACGCATTTAAAACTACTAAGCATGAACAAATATGAAATTATGCATATTTGGATCTAATCATTTATAAAATGATTTTGTAAGATTCGAATAAATGCTTTCTTATCTTACACATTTCCAGTAGCCTAGTGAAAGTCTATTACGTGTTTTTAACTTCTACCAACTCATTTTCGAGCCTGTTTTGGCCCACCAGAAAAAGTTGTGCATTACTGTTTTTTTATAATCTGATAGTTCTCCTCGCATGCGAGTCATTTTTTACAATGTATGATGAATGGATAAAAGAAGCAAAGTATTTTACAATACTTATATTAATTTTAAGCATTTTTAAAAATGTATATTTCATTTACTTTAAATACAAATTCTTACTGAATTGTAAAGCTAAATTCAAATCTTCACATTTTATTATTTTTAAAATTTTTATTAATTTTATTTGAATATTACTTTTCTTGAATAATATTACCTCCTTATTGTAATATAATATTTATTTGTAATAAAGAGACAATTTGTTATTAACTCGATACAAACATAATAAAACTACCATACACATAATTTGCTTAATGTGCAAACAGTGCTTGTATTGCAAATGCTTTTATGTTGATCATATTGCAAAATTGTAATGAATGTTTCAAGTTCTTACAGTGCTCTTCCCTAGCGTTTTTAGAAAGACTGTCCGCCCTGCCTGCTCTATAAATTCGTACATTTTACAAAAATGTTTTCCCTATAAATTTTCCTACAAATTCAAATTTGCCCTTCATTCCCATTTTCCCTATAAATTCACACATTTTGTAAAAATAATCTGTCATCCCTAAAAGACACTGCCTTTTTATCTGTATTCCATTTGAAAAAAAATCAATTCACAGTTTAAATAATAATTACACACTGGTAAAATTATCTGTTTATAGGTTTAATTCTGTTTACTATTACAAATATTTACTTGTTAGGACTATTCTCTACTCGATAAATTTTATAGCTATATTTTTTTTTGGGGGGGGGGGGGGANGGGGATATTAATAAATTTTTTAATGGTTTTAACTTTTAAAATTATCTTTTCAATAAGAAACTTTTTTTTCAAAAATTCAACTTTAAATGTTTATTTTCTCATAATTTTCAGTATAAATTATATAAAAATCTTTCAAGTTGTTTATTAAATAATAATTCTTTTTATATTACTTTTTTTTAAATAAAATTTATGTCCAGAGATTGTCTATTAGCATGCCTTTTATTATTTTTATTAACTACAAATTTTTTTCGTATTTTGATAATGTGAAAGAATTATTTTTTGAAATTTACACATAAAATAGTGTAAGAGGGTGATTTAAAAATTATTGAGAATTAAATTCAGTTATTACGTAATATTACACATTTTGATAAATTTTTACAGTGTTGAATTAACCCTTTCTGTGAAAATTTATAGTGCCCTTTTCTGAGAGCCAGTGTCTTGCCCTTTTTTATTCCTAGGGAGAACTCTGGTTTTTATTTCATTGTTTTAAATATTATTGCCCAATAAAGCTCTGTATGCAATAGTTATAATTTAACATTAGTTAGCAACATATTTATAACAAAATTGTTATCATATAGTTATAATCTTGATTATAGAAGCTTTGAATGAAAGCCAAATCTTTTACCATTCCTGTAAATTGTAATCCCCAAGTGCCGGTGCTTCCGTGTGTAAAAAAATGCATCTAGTGACTTTTAGATTTTTTTTTTTTGTGATTTTGATTTTAGTTCTGTTGAGGGGAAGATATCCATTACGGTACCTGCATCAAAAAAGTCGCCATATTTTGATGACAATCAGACGGTGGCACATGAAAAAAAAAATACTATTGTAATCGGCGACTTACTCAAAAGGTACAATTCGTAGCCACAACTAAGCAAACCAACTAAGCATGTATTTTTTTAAAAAAAAAAATTTGATGAAAGCCCTTTGGCAATGGTATTTTGTAGGAATAGGTACTGATACGGGAATATCTTCCTGTTCAGTCACTTTATGTCAAAATTTTGTGACTATTTTGCTGCCAGTATGCTGATAAGAAAGTTTCCCAAAAAAGATTTAATATATATTTATTCTAGGAAAATTACTTTAAAATTTGTGAAGGCTTTTATCATTTGTACGTCAAGGATGTGTTTGTTGTTATGTATATTGTCACAATGCTTTTCTCTTTTTATTCTGGAATATTGATAATTTTCCAGATAAAATAAAGTTACTACTAGTTATTTTTTAAAAATGTTACAATGTCATTTGTTTTGTCTTGAAGTAAATATAATATTTTAAATTTTTAGTTCAGATGTCTTCACTGTGTTTAAGTAAATCTGAACCAACATCAAGGAGTGAAAATATAAATGGAGGAGCAGTGCTGACATCCAAGAATGAGCTGAACATGAAGTGCGTTGTGACATTTTCTACTGACACAATATTGCAAAGGTTCATGCTACGATTTGAACACCTCGCTTTAGACTGCAATGACCATCTCTATATCTTTGATGGAGGACATGAATATGGGAATCATGAGGTGAGAATTCTTTTAAAAGTATCTATATTAAAAAAATAAAACAACATTTTCTATTGACGCAATATTGCTGCAAAGGTTAATGTTAAGATTGGAGCACCTCATTTTAGACTGTAATGACTGTCTCAATATCGATTGTGATAAACTTAATAATTTTTTTTATCCTATTGTACATATTTTAATCGTCTTTTTATCATGTTACCAATACAAAAATTTAGAACATTACTATTTATATAATGTATTGTTTATTGCTTACTTTTTAAATTTTAACTTGCTGCACTCATAAAGTGAAGGGGAAAAAATCATCCAAATTTGATTTTGTTTTAATTTTTTTAACTGCATGAATGTAGTTTTTGTTGCACATAAGATATAAAAAATATAATTTTCTTCACTAAATGGTGGTGTTTAAATTTTTTTTTTGTTGTAAAAAAATGACATAAAATAATTACATTTTTGTGGCTTACTCAAAACCAGTCTATTTCTATACCTGTACTGCGACTAATTTTAAAAAATTATATATTTAGTTTGATAAACAGGTTATTTTTAAGTTAAATTTTCCTTTCCAGTTACTCTGGAATGGTATAAACTCTTCAAATCTTTATTTGCAAGAAAAACTTAGAAATCCTTATTTGCAAGAAAAACTATATTTATTGTGAACATTGTGTCTAAATTTTAAGCAAATTAGTTGAAAATTGTATTAGTCAGAGAAACATAGTTTTGAGTTAATTATGTTTTATGTTTTGTAATCAATAATCCAAATAACTCTTTCAAAATTTTGCAACTAACTATAATGCATCAGTACCAGTTCTATAAGCGCCTCCATTTCCACTGGCTCAAGTGCTAGTAAAGCTTTTTCTCCTTGCTGATTTACTCTCGTGTGACACGGCTAAAGAATGAATAGAAAGGCCAGGTCACTCTTTTGAAGAGACTCATGCCCTTCTGAACTTCCGATTTTAATCAGTGACGTCATGGCGGTGCAGTGTCAACTTCTCACTTTAAAAATAAATTGTTTCGCGTGTAACTAGCATTCTTTTTTTTTTAAACTTATTTCAATGCATTCATTGTTTTCCATAATTTTTATTTTGAGGTAATTTTTTTCTTATCTCATAGAAAAAATTTCACAGTAAAATGTAACCGGCAAGAAATTTTATAAAACATAAAATGAGAAAATGTGATTTTCAATGCTTTACTTCAGAAAATATAAAGGTGACATCAAATGAATTATAAAATTTACTAGAAGAATTTATCCTGCTGTGAATAAAAAAGCATTAGGCTTTTATGTTTAAACATTTAAGAAATTTTATTGGGCGTTGAAATTAATACTGCCTCATAAGTTTAAACAGAAAAAATGTATAATGCTGTTTTAGTTTGTTTTTTTTTTAAATTTTAATTTTTTGTTCTATGTTTTGGTCTGTGTTATTGTCACTTTCATCCAAATATTACACATTCCAAATATTTTCCTAGAATAAATTTTTCTTTTGAATTTACTTCTTTAACTTTTTCTTTAAAAAAAAGCCCAATTGATACTTGTAAGCAAACCAGTTAAAATGTTTATGGTTACTAGTCCTTTTAGTTACTAGTCCTGGGGACCAGTGACTAAATTTTCTTAATTTCTGTACCTGTACTGCAACTAATTTTAAAAAATTATATATTTAGTTTGATAAACAGGTTATTTTTAAGTTAAATTTTCCTTTCCAGTTACTGCTTCATAACTTAGTTAATATACTGCTTCATAACTTAGAAAATTTTCACAATAAGGGACACACTTATAAATCAAATTTACTGTATTATGAACATTTTCAAATTTTTGCTCAGAAAATCACATTAACTGTTCTCTGAAAAGTTTATTTTTAATTGGTTAATTAAATTATAAATTATGCATTAAGAAATAAATTAACTAAATGTTCATTGAATTATAAAGTTAATTTAAAATTCTTGCTGTAATTTTTTTTTAAAAAAACCTTTAAATGCAAATTAATATGTATTTAAAGATTGTTTTATTTAGTTTTTTTTCCCCTTTTCAGTTTGATCTTTCATGCCGAAGCACTCGTACTGATGTAGGAACCATTTTCACTTCAGGAAGTTACGTAACGTTAAAGTACATTACCGATGCTCGTAGTCATGCAGGAAATGGTTTTAAACTCATCATGACAGCAGTGAAAAAACCAAGTACATCTTGAATTTTTCTGTGTAAAAATGAATTGTTTATGTACGTGATGTATTTAAAAAATCGATTTCGCAATCGAAAAATGAGTAAAACAAAACAACTTATATAAAGTACAAATGAAGGCACAAAAAAGACAATCTTCAGTTCTATTATAAAAAAAATATTTTTCATTGTCTAAACAAAAGGAATTGCTCATTTAAGTACCTTTATTTGCACTTTATTCAGAATGTTTTACTTTATTCACATGTAGCACAAAATGTTCCATATCCTTATTTGGATCAATTTAATGTTGTATGGAAGTTGAACAACATTTTCCTTTCATCTTATAGGTTTTTTTTTTTGTTAGAAATATATTCATTTTTAAAAACTTGCCATATATTAGGAGCAACAGAAAAGTTTGTTGTTTGTACATCATTACTTTTTGGTACTAAAATACAATTTATCGAAGACGAAATATATTAGGTGGGCTAATTTATTGAAAATTTTGAGTAAATCATTTTAGGAAATTTCATATCTCATGGTTTCGAAAGTTTGCCAAAGTTGCATCCTGTTATTTTCGCCAGATTTTGCACATAAACGCTAACTCTGGGATAAATATGGATGGCTGTTTGATTTGACATTTTGCGAGACGAAACTGACCAGCTATCCTTAAATATTTGGTCACCATTGGCAAAATGGGGAGTGGAGATTTCGCCAACTATATATATATGTACGAGAGTTCTCCCTAGTAATAAAAAAGTGTACTTTTAGTTTCAAAAGGGCACTCACTTAACTCTGTAAAAATTATCAAAATGTGTAATACTATGTAATAACTGAATTTGATCCTCAGCAATTTTTAAGTTACCCTCTTATTTTATGTGTACTAATGCAAAAAATAATTTTCACTCATTATTTAAATAAGAGAAAGATTTGTTGTTAATAAATAATAATTAAAGGCATGCTAAGCGACAATCTCTGTCCATATATTATTTTTTTTCTTCAAAAAAATGTAAACTAAAGAAATATTTTTTGATAATCAGTTTAAAAGATTTTTTCTATAATTTATACTGAAAATTATTCGAAAATAAACTTTTAAAAATGCATTATTTTTTTTAAAAAAAAGGTATTTATAAAAAAATAATTTTAAAATTTAAAATCACTGAAAAAAAAGTAATATATGTAAAAAGAGAAACTTATAAAAATTTGTAAAAAGAGAAACTTATAAAAATTTAACCAGTTGAGAATAATCCTAACAAAGTAAATATTTGTAATAGTAATTAGAATTAAACCTATAAACACAAATAATTTTTGTGTGTAATTATTATTTTAACAGTTAATTAATTTTTTTTAAAAATGAATATGAATTGAAAGACGGTGTTGTTAAAGGATGTTGACTTATTTTTGCAAAAAAGGTAAACAGGGCACATTTATAGGGATCAAAAGGCAGGCCGCCCCTTCTAAAACCGTTTAGGGTAAACACTGTATGTATGTTAAATGTCCCTCTAAAAAAATTACTTTGTATCCAATCTGAAAATGTTCCATTACCCTTACTTTTGAATGATCAAAATGAATAAAACTCCTCTTTTTAAAATGATTTTTATTTTTACACTAAGGATATGTTTAAAAAAAAGTATTAGTAAAAAAGAAAAAAACTTCTTTTAAAAAATTCTATCTTGCTGTTTCTCTGATAGCCAAACATTTATTTTGCCCCAATAAGCAATGTTTCATATTTTTAGTTTGGGAATTTCATTTTTAACTGGTTTCTAAATTTAATTGAAATTTGAATTCAGGTCATTATGCAGTGTATTTCCTGTTTGTTTCTACTTGTGAACTTAATTTGAAGGTGATTTTTACTGTTGGTTTGAACTGATGTTTTAGTTAGATCAGATTTTGTACTTGTGGGTTCAAATGATTTTCAAATTTTGATTTAAAGAGATACTCTACTTTTGGTTTGAAGAGATTTCTAATTTTTAGATTGAATGGATACACTATTATTATTTTTTTTTTCTTTTTTACTGTCTTGTTTATTTACAAATGATTTTGCTCTTGATAGAAAGATAACTTGTTATGTTTCAAAAATAACTTGCCTCAGATTGCCACTAGCCAGAAAGAAAATATTTAGAGGAGCTTCTTAAAATGTTTTACCTTCAAAAGTCTAATGGCAGTTCTGATAAAGTTAAGGATGGTGCCACAACTTCCGGTGTGTGCAATTTCTACTGATAATTTTCAAAGTACATAATATTACAATAAACCTAATGAAATGAAATGTATAATGAGATATTGGTAAACCAAATAAAGTTTGAATGAAACCAATGTTTATTTATTTTTTATTTATATTTGTCGGCCAGAATAGCCTGGTTAGCAGGGCGCTGGACTTTAAGAGCCCCACAACCTGCTCGGGAAGTCAAATATTTTATGGTAAACAATTTAACAAGAACCGATACTGCAATCCCTATGCAGATCAGAGAGGTTATCTTCCACTCGGTGACTATTGGATAGTCAGGGAGTCAACAGAATAGTTTTTATCAATTTATTTTAATGTGTATTAAAGGAGATATTCATAAAATTTGGAATTGCCATTTATTGTGATTTATTTATTATTTTTCAGATGCTGCCTGTCAAGCATTTCGTTGTCTCAATGATCTTTGCATTTCTCAAGACTTGCGTTGTGATGGTATTAATCACTGTGGAGATAATAGTGATGAAACTAGTCAAGCATTATGTGGTGGTGAGTTTATCCGACTCATTTATAGTTCCTTTTTTATTTATTGCAACTTTGTAAACCTGAAATGTTATTCACAATTTAAGAAATTTTGACCTATTTATTAGGTGTAAAATAACTTTTAATTTTTAAAAATTTTCTACTTATTAAACATTGAATTGATTTTAATAATTTTAATAAAAAACAAAAAACTATTGCTTATTTATTGCATATTTTCTTCAACATGAACTGCTAATGTGGAAATGTTTAGCTGAATCTTTAGTTTAGAAGATTAATTGTATTCATTTCCTTTTTTAATGCAGCATTTAATTTTTTACAAATTTTTTTTACACAAAAAACATGTGCACAAAAAGAAAACATAATGGTTTATTTTTAAACATAATTTGATCATTCATAATGGGTACATTTGTTTTTGCACATAATTGTATCTGTTGGGATAATTTTTGTAGATATTAAATTTTATTCATCCATCCAACTATTCATGACGTCAGCAGAAGTGGCGATTCCGTACCTAGAAAATCACACTGACTAAAATTAGAATCGTTTGGGGCAAATCACGTACCTTCGATAACATTTTAAAGTCAATGGAGGTAACGCCTAAGAATAACCAACCTCCGTGAACAACCATTTTAATGTGGAACAGAGAATGGTCGATCCCCAGAGGTTTCACTGCACATATATATATAAATTGTCCTTTTTGGGGATGACTACTATAAAAGTGCAATATCTGTTTCTTTAACATTTTGACATGTCATTGCGGTAATAGCAGGGTATAATTCCACTTTACGAATGGTAACATACTTCAGTGTCTAATAAATTAAATAAAATTGCTACCTTTATATATTTTCTATACCTTCTTTTACATAAATAATGGTAAAATAGCTAAATGACACTGTTACCCTTGTATATCTTTATCCACTCAATGAATATTGAAATGAATTAAATAAAACTGTTGTATATGTTTTCATATGATAACCTATGTTTAGATGAAACTGCTACAAATCAAATAATGGGCCTCAACTTTGGAACATTTGTGTCCCTTGTGCTTGGAACATTTCTACTCTGCTGTGTGTGCATTGTTGGAGTTATAATATGTGTTTTCCGTAAAGAGCAGCAACAACGGCAGCTTGAAACAGAGGCGCAGTTCAGCGGAACTCCCCATTCCATGGTCATAGGCCAGCAGCCATATTCTAGTATGCCAGAAATATTTTTATTCCTAATAAAAGTAGTTTCTGAATTATTGAAAATCTTATGTAAATTCAAAATTTTAATCTAAAATGCGCTCATTGCTAAATTTTAGTGTTAAAAAATTTTTAAAAATTATTTAAATTTTTTTACAATTTGAAAGTATGCAGTTATACATTCTTTTGAAGAATGCAATTTTTAATAACAAAATCAAAGATCTAAACAAAATTTGTTAACCTGTTGTGGAAACTGTTCATCCAATTTCTTTTATATTTTGCCATTAAAATTTACACTGCTAAATTTATTAATGCTTAAAATAATGGTGTATATTTTACTATTCATATTTTTTTCATCGTCAATTAAATAAAATATTAATACTGAAAGCATGATAAATATTTTTAAAAGTAGATTTTATTTCAAAATTCTTTCAAAGTAAATGAATTTTATAAATTGATGCAAGATTTTTTTGATCTGCTGAATTAGTTCCACAGATTTTTTTTTTTTAAAAAGGGGGAAAAAAATAAATTTAAGAGACTCAATCTTTGGATCTCTTTCCCGTAATGAACTATTAAGAAAATAATACTATATTTCAACCACTCCTCATGTTTTAAGTTCGAATATAACAGAGGAAGGGGGGGAGGGACATATTTCTATAGAAAAAGTATGTTTTTGTAACCTTATTCATACTGAGGTACATACTAAAAATAAAACGAGGTTTCCATGATTAGTTGTCTAATTTCTAGAAATTTATTTCAATATTTCATTTGCGTATAGTAATTTGATTTTTACATGTGTATATTCATAACATTTCGATATTTCAAGGTTATCTGAACAAATTTCAAAATGGTTCCTCTTGGGAAAAGCTTTAAAAACTTGCTGTAAACAATAATTCTATAGTATTAAACTTAATACTTTTCACCTCATGATACAATATTTAAGCAAATATATTCGTAACTGATAAATTTATTGTAATCAAAATACTTTTTTTTTTTTTTTAATTGTATCCATTTCTAAGGCTGCCACAGAACAGGAAAAAATTTAAAAGTCAGGGATTTTTATAAATCTGGAAAATATTAGGAAATTTTATTAAAATAACTGAAAAGTCAGGGAAAATGAAATTTATGTCACCGATTAGAAAAACCAGGGAAGTTTGATAAAATCAGTCTGTAAAAGTCAGCGAATTTTTTTTTCCAAAGTATTTCAGAGCACCCTGTTTCCTTTTTTTTTTGCTATTCATGCTTGTAAAAAATCACCATTTTGTTATGGTACTAAAATGAGTTTTAAGTCTTGTACTACTTGGCTTCTTGAATGGTTGGCCTTTGGGATCAATTAAATGAAACTCCGACCACCATAAAATAATTATTGGTTGTCCCCGGTACCAGCAACCAATGTAAATGGATGGTATGCTATTTTGTCTAAAATAACGTATTTTATCAAAATTGTGAACATGACACATTTTCTACAATTGTAATTTTTTTAATAAATTCACGTTATTAAACTTATAAGAAAGTATTTGTCCAATCGAGATAAGCAAATGAACTGTTAAAAATGTGTACAGACTAGTAATAGTTGTTGGGCCTTTGGATCAGTGACTAAAGCATGGTGCATAGCTTTTTTAAAAACTGTTTATTTTCAATTTTCTTTTTTTAAAAACCCTTAATGGTGCTTTTTTCATGGAGTGTTTTTAGAAAGTGCTTAAATTTCCCTTTTCGAAAAAGAGATTTCTTTCATTACCATGTCGTTTTTTGCTCCATACTATGCAAAAGCGTAATTTTCACATTGTTCTATTCCACTTTTTTGCAATTTATTCAACCGCAATCTATTTTGGCGTATCGTCGGTCCATAGCGTATGAAAGCGCCAATGATGTTCCATGTTTGAGGAAATACTTGTCCATGTGTGCATCCACTGAACTGGGTTCAGTGAGATTCTTGCACTCTCATGTGCAACTCTGCTGCATTTTGCACGATATTCTCAATTTCAGGCTTCATTTTCCCTCTGAAATCGAACCGAACAACCTCTCTATAATTTTAAGGTGACTAATATAATCAAGAAAATAGTTCTTTGTTAGAAACTAGTTATTTTATCATGATCATGTGAAGTTTTGAAAATTATTTTTCATTTTGTTAGTGTATATAGTGCCTAAAGATATTTTTTGAGTGCTTAAAAAGTGCTTGTTTTTTCTTAAGAGATTTAGCTATGTACCCTTTAAAGTTACTTAATTTCTACCCTTGTTTCTTTTTTAGCAATAAAATACATTGTGATTATTAAACTTATTTTTCTCCTCTCTCCCTTATGCCTCACCCATCACAGCCCAGCCCACATTCAGCACCTCTCAGCTGCAGGAGAAGCCGCCTCCTTATCCGGGAAATATGTTCCTCCATCAGTCACAGCAACAGCTGGACGGCACTCGAGGAGGAGTTTATTATCATGCAAAGTAAAGTCAGGCCGCAGGCGACCTCAGCCTCCTAAAAAAGAATGGCTAGTTTGACGACTACAGTGCACAGCTGAAATTATTATTATTTCTTTTTTTAAGCTACAGTCAATTTTGGGTAAACAAAGTTCAATCTATGGATAAAATATTTTAAAATGCCAAAACTTGAAAAAAAACTTTTTTTTTCTTCAAATAACAACAAATTAGTTTTATAATTATTTCAAAAATTTAAACCTTTACTTAAAATAAAATTTCATATAAATTCTTTTCTTTAATAAATAAATATTTATTAATTGAATAACAAGCCCAATGGGAACAATTTTAGGTAAGCTAAGTTTCATCTATGGTGTAAAATGATATTAAAATGAAATGAAATTTAAACAATGTGTCAAAACTAGTAAATTAAATGTAATGATTTGAATTTTAGGAAGTCTATATTTTCTAAATCACTGAAATATTAAAATCTGGAAGACTTAATGTTGCATTAGTTAAAAAATTACTTTAACTTTCATTTATATTGTGCATATATTTAAAATTAAAAATTTAAAAAAAATTTGTGCATAATTTCTATTAAATTATAGCTAACAATCATTATGAAAAATCAGCTAATAGATTCGAATTTTAAATTTATCAATAATTGACTGAAGTTTTACATTTTGTCGTTACAAATGTTTTATTATTTTTTTATGACAAACATTGAAAGGTGCATTTAATAGTTAGAGTCAATTAAGTTTTAAAGCAAAACAAATTGGATTTTGTTTTATCTTTTACTCAATATTTGTGTTTTAAAATATATGAGAGGAAAACAATTGGTCGTAAATGAAGTAGAGGATCTATATAACACAATTCTATTTACTGCAATTCTCCATAAGTCGTGGTTGCAAACAATTTCTGTTATGAAATGCCTAAGCAAGAACTGTTAAATTTAAAATTTCAGGTCAAAATTTCAAAAGCTAAGTAAACCAAAATTTAATAACTGGTTCTTTAATAGTTCTAATGCTGCCAAAAATTTTAATTTTTTTTCTATAAATAATTACTGCTCTGGGGAACATTTTGTGTTTGTATCTAAGAATTATTTTAAATTGATCTGTTCCTGATGCCATATTTAAAGACAAGTGAAATACTTTATATAACACTAAATTTCATAAAACAAAGCCTCGGGTTTCAATGCTTGCGTTATAAAAATCTTCTACTCTAATTTACTTATATAAATTATTTAAATTCATAACAAAATATTAGAAAAGACTAAGAAGATAAGACTTTTAAACCACATAAATGTCTCTACCTTTTTAAGCCAATATTATCTATAAAATATTTTCCTGCATTCAAATTTTAAGTATTACTACAATTATAAGAAAGTAACTTTAAAATTATAGATATGTTTAAAAAAGAAGTTAACGTAAGAAAGTCTTATAATTACCCATGTAGCATATGGGTTCAGATGAGTTGTTGATCTATTGATTAAAAAAAAAAGTTAAAATATATAGCTATTTTCTTTTCTTGTAAATTGATATTTTCCCAAATGCCCTGGGTGTACTGCATTATATATATATATATATATATATATATATATATATAGAAATAAATGTGCTTANCAAAACTATGTACTTTTATAAGCCAAATGCCTCTTCAGCGTCCATGACAAAATCCAATAATGTACTATATATATATAATAAAGGAGCAGTGTCACAAGTCTTAAACTAATCTTTTTATTAAAGTTTAGTTATCAATTTTAATTTTTATAATAATATTTCTTTTACAAATAGTGCTCAAAATATATGTAGAACCATTGTATGTAAAAGCATTTGAAGAAGTCTGGTATTCAATACCTTAGTTCCTTGGGCTGAATTAAATTTTAATTCAAGTTCTTTACATTTGAACTTTCATCAACTTAATCCTGGCTTGAATAGTTGTTTTAATTTATAATAGTTTTTTTTACTCAGAAGTTTTTAGAAATTCTGGGAGATAATATTTTTTTCCTTAAAAGTATTGTTTCAAGTCAGTGATTTTAGTCATGTCTTGTTTTTGTCTATGTAATAAAAGAATGTTTGTTAGCTAGGTTTAACTTAATATGACTTAAAGATTTTCATAAATTTGCAAGGGCACTTAGTACCTGAGCTATTTTAAACTCTTAAAAATAAATTCTTCAAATAGTAATAACCTATTTGTTGTCTGCCAAAATTTCGCAATTTCTTCCATATTACTAAATCTATTTTCAAATAATTGTTCTTATCCAGTTCAATAGTATTGTTGAGAGTGAATTGATTAATGATGTTACCCAAATTAAATTTAAAAAAAAGAAAGAATTTTTCTAGGTACATAGTACACCCATTAGACTAATTTGATCCCTTTAGTTTAACAAAGAGTAATTTAAACAAAACTCATGAATAAAATTTTTTAAAATCGTGTCTTCCGTAAACAGATTTCAATTATTTATCTGTTCAATTTAAGTTTTGATATTACTACTTTAGAAAATAATTGACTTTGTAACGAGTGCAATTTTCTAAATTAGAACTTACAGATCAAATCTATGGCATAAACTTTGGCCAAATTTGTCTGCGATTTCAATACAGTGAGACAGAGATTATTATTGTAAAGACTAAGCTTAATCTAACATGCATGTAATAAAACTTTCAAATATAAGGTCCTTAAAAACTTAGTTGTTTAAATTAAAGTTAAATTTTATACAGTATACTCTCAATATCTCGAAAACTTTGTTATGTTAAAAAAATATTTTTCTCCTCTTTATTATATATCCACCTAATATTAATTTGAATGTCTATGTCGAAGAGTTTCTTCTCAAAACCTAGTTATGTCGATTTTTTTTTTTTTCGAAATAGAAAGTTTTTTCAGAGAAATCACAATGTAAGTTTATTGTAAACTAATTATTTTCTATTGAATCCATTATTCTTTTTCACATATTTTTAAAAATTAAATTATCATTGTTGTATTTTGACTTATAGTCAGCTATCATTATGTATTTATTAGTTGTAATTTTTAATTTCATGGCTCTACTTCTTAGTCATATTTTAGAACATATTTAGTTCTGAACATGTTATCTCGAATAATCGCTACCTCAAAAATATTTAGCAACCCTTCAACTTTGAGATATCTAGAGTATATTGTGTACAATGATTTTAAAAAATACAGTTAAGCTTGAAATCAAGTAACAAAGAACCACTCATGCTTGTTATTTGGATTCCTGCATAAAATTATTGTATAGCAATGCAATAATTTCTGTGTAGACATAAATTAGTGTTAATGGTAAAAAACTTTTGCCAATAATGTGTTGATTTGAAATAAATAGTACTATATTAGTTACTGCTGTAGAGTGAGTCATTGCTATACAATTTAATTGCAATAAAATCCAATAATGACAGAAACTAACACGCAAAACTATGTACTTTTATAAGCCAAATGCCTCTTCAGCGTCCATGACAAAATCCAATAATGTACTCTCTGACCAATTTTAATTGATTAAATTAACTGTCCAGATTACTGTGAGAACTGAAGTTGAAAGTTTATATATTCTATTTTAATGTTAAACGTCATAGATATGCTAGGTTTCACTTTGAAATAGCTCTATGTGTGTATATATACATCTCAAGGACTCTTTTTCTCTATTGAGAAGAACAACTAAACGTTTATAAAAGAAGATTTTCATTAATTGTGTATATATAATATGACTGCTGTTAAAAGATTGTAACCAGCAATTGTGCATTTATGCAACGTATTTTATTGCTAGAAAGCTACTTTTTTAATGATGCAAAGCTATGTACGTCCTGGATTTATAATTTTTTTTAAAGGAAAAAGTTTATGTCTTGTGTCTACATAAATTATTACAGGTTGCATCTCATAAACCTGCCCAGGTTTTACCCTGAGGCGACAATTTTGTGTGATGCATCTTGGATTTCAGGAGTGCTAACTTATTGAGGCTTTTCACAATTATTCATCCATTGATTTCCATAGTAATTCACACATATTATGGAAATGAAACTGCTAAAATTATTTAGATGCTTAGCCGCTGTTTTGAAATGCGTTGTTCAGAATTGTATGCATAATTTTGTAAGAAAAATATTTTTTTAAAGATGCAAAACCATTAGCATTTTTATATCCATGCAATATTTATGGATCAGTAACAACTTTATGAAATTTGAAAAAATGTAAAGACATAAATTGCAGTGGCGTAATAACACCCCCACGACTCCCGCAGTGTGTTGGGGGGGGTTCTCGAGATTCGAGGGTGCGCAATCCAGAAATAATGATGGGGCCTACGGTACTGTGACCTACTACCTGTGACCTACGGTAGCATTTAAACCTGAAACACAAACAAAAAACTATTGTATTTTTGTTTTGCAAAAAATAAATAATAATAAAATAAAAANGAGGGTGCACAATCCAGAAATAATGATGGGGCCTACGGTACTGTGACCTACGGTAGCATTTAAACCTGAAACACAAACAAAAAACTATTGTATTTTTGTTTTGCAAAAAATAAATAATAATAAAATAAAAAATCAGAAATTTTGCATTTAAGTTTTTGAACCTGCCAAATCTAAATCAATGTTTTTTCTTTGATCGCTTTTTTCAATGGTTATCACTACAAATTTCCAAAGTTTAAAAAATCCCAACAATTTTGACATCCCATCTAGTGTTCTTGTCTCAATTATAATTTTAAAAATAATGTGTTAAGTCTAAGATGTGTTGCATTTATAATTCTTGCAGGAGAGGGCACACCTAAGTCTATGTACACCACTGATAAATTGCAATGTTTAACTCTTCCCATTATAATTTTTATTTTTCGAGGAAGTTTCCTCGATTTAATATTTTCAATGTTTTTTAACCCTCTTGCACTCATCTGACAAGATACCATCACAGAAGAAAAATTTGTCGCTCTAAATTTTAAAACTTTTAGATCAAAATATTTAATAACCACATGACTCCATGATACTATCAAATACTAAATAAAAAGTAATTTACTTTGTGTTTAACTATTCAAGTTATTACAATCTTTTAACTCGAAATTTAAAAGTGTTTGGAGTATGAAATGTTGAGTCACAAGTATAGGGCAAAATTAGGAAATTTTGTTACTGGCCAGTGACAAGCATTTTTAACAGTAGCCACTTTTACAGAAATTAAAAATTTTAATTTGTTAAAAAAAAAT